GAACAACAGCTCGACCTGGAGCTGGGCTGCCGGGAAGAGCACAACGATAATACCAACATGGGCCAGTGAAGCGACGTCCTCCACAACTAGACTGAAGAACAAAAGGACAGAGACTTGTCTGTTGCCCTTCCCTGATTCCCCAACACTGTTCCCCTCCCCCAATTCCCCAATAAAATCTTTAAAAAAGAAAATTATCATTTACAGTGATGTCAGAAGGGATAAAATACTTAGATATTTAGATATAAATCTAACAAAATATGAACATTTGTATGCTGAAATTACAAAATGCTGATAAAAAAATAAAAAAAATATTTAAATAAATGGAGACACCCTGTGTTCACTGATTGGAAGACTCAATAGTAAGATGTCAATTCATCCCAAATTAATCAATTGCATTGTATTGAACTGCATTCAATACAATCTAAATAAAAATTCCCTCAGTATTTTTTGTGGGAATCAATAATCACTTCTAAAAACATTTATGTAAAAGCAAAGGAGCTAGAATAGCCAGAATGACTCTGAAAAAACATAAAGTTGGAGGACTTACTAGAAATCAACAATAACCATCAGAATGTGGTACTGGCAAAATGATATGTATATAGATCAAAAGGATAGTCCAGAAACAGATTCACATATGTGGTCGATTCAGTTTTGACTAAGTAAGTTCAATGGGGAAAGTGTTTTCAACAAATGGTGCTAGAATTGGGAAAGTGAGCCTTGACCCTTATCTCACACCACATAAAAAATTAACTCAAATGGATGACACACCTTGACATAAAAGCCAAAACTATAAAAATGGTACAAGAAAACATAAGAGGAACTCTGCACAACTTTACATTGAGCAAACTTAAGATTGACAAACTGAATTTAATCAAAATTAAAAGTCAGAAAAATGAAAAGGTAAGCTTCAGACTGCAAAGTGTATGTATGTGTCTGTGTGGGTCAAAGGACTTATATAATAAATGTGTAAAGAATTCTTGCAACTCAGTAAGACGAACACCCCAATGTTTAAACATGGTGAAATATTTGAACAGATACTTCACAAAGGAAGACATACAAATGACCCATAAA